GATTTCATTTACTATAGTTTCTACTATGGAAATTTCTTTTTTTTTAACTTTATTTTTATTGTTAACACTATAATAGATCTCTCCATTCCTCCTCCCCCCTTTGCCCACTTCCACCCAGCCCTCACCCCCTTCCCTCTGGTCATCACCACACTGTTGTCTGTGTCTATGGGTTATAACACAGGTTCTTCTGCTAATCCGTTCATCTGCTTTCATCTAGTTCCCCATCCCCCTCCCCTCTGACAGCTGTCAGTTTGTTGCAGGTATCCATGCCTCTGTTTCTATTTTGTTCATCAGTTTATTTTGTTAATTAGATTCCACACATAAGTGAGATTTTATGATATTTGCTTTTCACTGCCTAGCTTATTTTACTTAGCATAATGTTCTTCAGGTCCATCCATGCTGTTACAAAAAGTAAGATTTCCTTTTTTACAGCAGCATAGTATTCCATCACATAATGTACCACAGCTTTTTTTTTATCCACTCATCTACTGATGAGTACTTGAACTGTTTCCAGATCTTGGCTACTGTAAATAATGCTGCAATGAACATAGGGGTGCATATATTCTGGCAGTTTGTTGAGCTCCAACCTGAGTTTAAGTCTCAAATACAAAGAAAGCAGCCCTCTCATTATCTGTTACTACATGCACAAAATATACACTAAGTACTAGCTATTATTATGCCCTTCAATAGCTCAGCTGGTAGAGCAAGGACAATAGACGTGGTTGACTGCTGATATTCTTAGGTTACTGGCTCAATTTTTAGCTTAAAGGAGGTGCGTGAGGGTTTTTGCAGCAGTCCTATACTCAATTTCCAGGAGCTTTATTCTTGTTACCCAATGACCATGAAACTTATTGTAATTCTATTCTCAGGCAACAAGCAAATAACTTTTTGCTTACCACAAAACTTAATTATACATGTCCTCTTTGTGATCATACTGATGTGGTTTGGAGATGTGAATTAATGGCTTTGCATTTTAGATTTGAACGTTGACTCCTAATCTTTAAGAAATCAGCTAGTGTTGATGAATATTGGGTAACATTTTTTGACTCTTCCTTCATCCATAACCTTTTTCATTACTGTGAATAATTCATACTGGGCAACACAAAATTTAAAGAGAAACACTGTAGAAAGGCCTGCCCTTCGAAAGGATGTAAACAAACCACACAGAGAATAAACAATGTAATAGACTAAATATGGAAATGCTCCTTTATTAATTAGAAAGGAATACCTGTTAAAACAAGGGAAGATTATTTCATCGCTGAATTAGAAAGTGTTAATTAGTATTTAGTGCTAACAAGGAGGCAGTAAGAAGGATATTCTTGTAGAATGTCACCCCTTTCTGGAGGGAAGTTAGGCATTAAAAAGCAGGAACCCTAAAAAGATTATATTTAAGTGTTCTATTTGTACTTTTAGAAATATTTATGTATGAAAAAAGAAAATATGGCAAAATGTGTTTATCTGTGGGTAATTGGTATTCATACTTTAATGTATTTTTTCAAAATGTGTCATATCTATATTACATTACAAAACAACAACAGTGTTTTAACCATACAAAATGAAGTTTAGAAATACTTTGTGCCACTATGGAAGACATTTTGGCAGTTTCTTACAAAACTAAAAATAATATTATGATACAATCCAAGAATTACTATCCTAGGTACTTAACCAATGAGTTGAAAACTTGTGTCCACACAAAACCCTGCCCATCAATGTTTACAGCAGCTTTATACATAATTGCCAAAACCTGCAAACAATAAAGGTATCCTTCAATAAGTGAATGAATAAGTAAACTGTGGTACATCCATGAAATAACAATGGAATAACATGGAGTAACAATGGAATATTATTCAGCAGTAAAAAAGACATCAAGTCACAAACGATATGAAGAAACTTGAAACGTATATTCCTATCAGTAAAGACTACATACTATATGATTCCAAATATGTGACATTCTGGAAGAAGCAAAACTATGGAGACAGCAAAAAGATCAGTGGTAGTGGGCAGTGGGGGTAGAGAGAGAAAGGGATGTATTGGGAGAGCACAGAGGATTTTTAAGGCAGTGAAACTATTCTGTATGATACTTATGAAAATGGATATGTCTTTATACACTTTGTCAAAACTCATAGGAACTACAACACAAAGAATAAGGCATAGTGTAAACTCTGGACTTTAGTCGGTAATGATTTATCAGTGTTGGTTCATCACTACAACAAATGTATCACTCTAGTGCAGATGCTGATGGTAGGAAGGCTGTGTGGAAGGGCGGGAGGAGAGGGGGTATGTACGCACTGTCTGTACTTTCCACTCACTTTTGCCGTAAACTTAAAACCACTTGTCTTAGTTCAGATTGCTACAGTAAAAATGCCATAGACTGGGTGTCTTAAACCAAGCATTTCATTTCTCACTGTTTTGGAAACTGGAAGTTGAAGATCAAGGTGCCAGCAAGATTCAGTGTCTGATGAGAGGCTGCGTCCTGGCTTACAGACACCTGCCTTTTGTATCTTACATGGCAAAGAAAAAAACTTCACAACCATTCCTGTAAGAGATGTAATCCCATTCATGAGGATTCCCCCTCCCAAAGGCCCCCACCTCCAAATACTATCACATGGGGATTAGGGCTACAAATATGAATCTGAGGGGGGGTCACTTAAAAATTGAATCCACAGACTGCTTTTAAAAATGGTCTATTACAAAAATAAACAGTGATTTTTGATTTCCCAGTTTAATTGAAAAAACAAAAGAGATAATGCTGTGGTGATATACTGATTCTATTAGTCAACACTTACAAAACAGTATGAAAGCACATTCAGGATGATGAAAAGGAGTGATCAGAAGAGATAGCATTTGACAGAGACATTGATTGCATTATGGTTATTGTAGGTATGTATGTGTGGTAGAATGACAAAAAAGAGTGACACGCATGGGGGCGGGGTGGCAGGAAGAGTGCCAGAGAAGAGTGGGGGAGGAAGTGTGGCAAAGTGTGGCTGAAGGAGCAGCAGAGGCTGCGCAGGGGAATAAGAGAAGGGATGACAAGGGGAAAAGAAGGAAGGATGGCTTTCGGTTTGATGGTGGTAATGACGATGGAGGTAGAAAAGGGGTGGGGAAGGTGGGTGCAGGAGTGAATGGCAATTGAAGAAAGTTTTTCATCAACAAGGCAATCAAATTGATGAATTAAGGGCCAGTGAAAGTGCAACAGGTCAAAGAGGTGAAGGAGTAAAATGATACAAATGAAAACCCTCCAGTGTGGAGCTCTAGAAACCATGGAAAATGCTAGTGTCATTGGCAAATGTGGGGAATGCTGTGAAACTACTGAGTGGGGAGGAACTGAGTGGGAGGGGAGAGGGAGGGAATTTCAAACCAACATTCTTTTGGATGGACATGATGGCCTAACCGTAGACATTCTCTAAGTAGCTGAAAATATACAAGTAGAGATGAGGTTTCCTGGGAGTGAACCTCATCTCTTTATATTTCTGTTCTCATGAACAGGAATATAAAAAGTAAATGAACTTTAAAATAACACACAAAATTAAATTTGGGGAAGAAGGCAAAACAAGCATTGAAGGAGACAAAACTATTGCCCCGTGAAGAGGACAGTGATATGGGAATGCAAAGATGGAGTTTTATAAAAATGTCAGCAATGTCCAGAATTTATCCACAGGTACAGGAGCACTGGGAGCAAAGGAAGCCCAATCTCTCAATTTCTGAGAAAAATGTGACCTCTTTTGTGAGGACCTCCAGGACCCAAGATGGTGAGAGATGGGTGAAAAGAGGCGGACTGGTCTGGGGGAGTCACCCAGTGAAATAGGAGGGACCTGGGCGGACATTGAAGATCTTGAATGAGAAGGGGAAGGAAATTAAAAGTCAGAATTTTTTAAATGGCATTAAAACCCCCAGGACCTTGGTTTTTTCAGAGTCCTAGTTTTCTCCTCCATTTTATTCATTCATTCCTCATGACCCTGCAGGTAAGGTCTCTACCTCCCTCACCTGGGGAGCTGCCCAGCCAAATCCATGAGTATTGCGGTAGGTACCAGGGGCTGTAGAGACTCAAAAGTGCAGTGGGAAAACCCTTCTGAAAGGGCGCCACTGAATAGACCCCCACTGAATATCCCCTCCTCTTTCCCACACTGGGTTAGCTGTGCGCAGGTATTGCAGTGGGGTAGTTCAGAGACCTAGATAGTCTCCAGCGTAGGTGGGTTGACTCGGAAGGGCCAGGGCAGTGGCTACGCCAACAACGCATTTGCACCCCACGCCCCTGGACCTGAGGCACGGAGTCAGCCAAGAATCAGCTCTGAAGCGTTTTTGCAAACACAAACCCACCGACAGTCGAATCCAAATAACTGTTTACCTCCTCCCCCGCCACCCCTCGGAACTGCCTGAGAGCTTGACACCTGGTGAATACTGGCCTCATTCATTCCTTCGTTCGTTCATTCAATTCAGTTATGAAAGCGGCATGATCGAAACTAAGATCGGGTCCTTGCAGGTTATTTCTCTAGCCCCACATTCGGCGGCGGGCTAACGGGGGCTGAGGGGCACTTTCTGGGAAGCCTTCCTGACCGGCGAGCGCCTAAACCAGGGGAGGAGACTCGGTGCGGGCCTGGGTTTCAGGAGGGGAGGACCTGGAGCGTCCCCCTCGTGCCCACGCGAAAGTGGTGCAAAACCCCGACCACGGGGAAAGTCGGCAGCAGACAGCAAATCCGGGCAGGGGAGGTCAGAAGGGCTTCGAGTACAAAATCGAAGTGACTTGATTTGCGATGTGCATCGGTTCTCAAGCCCGGTGGCTCGAAGGCAGTTTGGATGGGAACGGTATGCACAATCAGGATATTACTATTTCGGGTTTCTAGACTGACTAACCTGCACGGTCGGCGGTGGTGGGATTTGAACCCGCGAGCCTCAGGAGACCCGAGCCTGCGCCGCTGGGCCGCGCGGCCTCAAACAGTCCGTCTCCTCGCCCCTGACCGACTTCTCTGAGCTGCCCAGTCAAAGTTCTGGGTTTTCTCCAGGGCAGCGGCTTCCGCGGCGCCTCCACGCTGCGTCAGGAATCGGAGCAGACCCGGGGAGGGGTCGTCGAGTCGGCGCGGCTGGGACGTGAGCCGGAAGGCAGCCGAGGCCCTCAGGAGACTTCCACTTTCCTCTCCCCGAGGCCACCAGAGCGGGGAGAACAATGAAGGTTCTCACTGGCATCCGGTGCAGGGGCTGAGAGACGACGGAAGAGGGAGCTCCTGGCAGCTGGGTCGCACGTAGGCCGGTGGCTGGGAGTTGCACTCAGAACGAGAACGGGGGCTGGCTCGGGAAGAGGCGCCCTTCAGCTCGCAAACCTGACGCCAACCTGACGGGGCAGCAAACCTGTCACCTCCCCGGGTCGCCTCCTCCAGCAGGCATCGGGTTCAGTCAGAACAGCCGAGATGAACCTACTTGCCAGTCTTCCTGAGGAGTAACGGAGCAAGAAGCACTCGGGTAAACACACGCTGGTTTTCCTTCCACCGAGTGACTCTCAGAGGGAGGCTGCATTCCAAGAGCCTCGCCAGCCCAGAAGGCTGTGGGTCTCCGGCTTCCCCTGTGTCCCAGCACCACTAGCTCCATTCTGTTTCTTTGGAAGAGAGTAGGGTGAAAACCAAGAACAAGTTTCAGAAGAGATACCTGGGATCTCCAGCATCTGAAGTGACATCCCGTACCTGTCCATGAACGCTCCTGGGCACAACGCCCCGGGTGTTATCTATATTCTTTGCTGTTGCTGATTGGATTTTTCTGGGTCTCTGGATCTGGAAATTCTCCTAGGGTTCTTATTGAAAACCAAAAAACTTTATTGTTGCTCAATTACAGTTGTCTGCATTTACCTGCCCCCCCCAACCCCCTCAACCAAACCCACCTCCCTCCCTTGCTTGCACCCCCTCCTTGGTTTTGTCCATGTGTCCTTTATGGTTGTTCCTGAAAACTCTTCCCCCCCCATTTTCCCCTCCCACCTTCCTTCTGATTACTGTCAGATTGTTCTCAATTTCAATGTTTCTGGTTATACTTTACTTGGTTTTTTCTTTTGTTGATTATGTTCCAGTTAAAGGTGAGATCATATGGTATTTGTCCCTCACTGCCTGGTTTATAACACTTAGCATAATGCTTTCCAGATCCATCATGTTGCAAAGGGTAGGAGCTCCTTCTTTCTTTCTGCTGCATGGAATTCCATTGTGTAAATGTACCATAGTTTTTTGATCCACTGTTTTACTGATGGGCACTTAGGTTGCTTCCAGCACTTGGCTATTGTAAATTGTGCTACTATGAAAATTGGGGTGCATAGGTTCTTTTGGATTGGTGTTTCAGGGTTCTTAGGATCCAATCCCAGCAGTGGAATTGCCAAGTCAAAAGGCAGTTTCATTTTTAGTTTTCTTTTTTAGTTTCTGAGGAAATTTCATACTGTTTTCCACACTGGCTGCACCAGTCTGCATTCCCACCAACAGTGCACTAGGGTTCCCTTTTCTCCACAACCTCTCCAACACTTATTTGTTGATTTGGTTATGATGGCCATTCTGACTGGTGTGAAGTGGTATCTCATTGTGGTTTTAATTTGCATCTCTCTGATGGCTAGTGATGCTAAGCATCTTTTTATATGTCTCTGGGCCCTCTGTATGTCCTCCTTGGAGAAATGTCTGTTCAAGTCTTTTGCCCACTTTATAGTTGGGTTGTTTTTCTTCCTGGAGTGGAGTCGTGTGGGTTTTTAAATGTATTTTGGAGATCAAACCCTTATCTGAGGTATCATTGTCAAATAGGTTTTCCCATATAGTTGGTTCTCTTTTCATTTTAATGCTGTTTTCTTTAGCCGTGCAGACGCTTTTTAATTTGATGAGATCCTATTTGTTTATTCTTTCCTTTATGTCCCTTGCTTTAGGGGACATATCAGTGAAGATGTTGCTGCTTAGAATATCTGAGATTTACATGCCAATGTTTTCCTTTAGGACTTTTATGGTGTCACAAATTATATTTAAGTCTTTCATCCACCTTGAATTTATTTTTGTGTATGGTGTAAGTTGGTGATCAAGTTTCATTTTTTTTTTCATGTAGCTGTCCAAATCTCCCAACACCATTTGCTGAAGAGGCTATTTTTATTCCACGTTATGCTTCTTCCCCCTTTGTCAAATATTAATTGACCATAGAGACTTGGGTTTATTTCTGGGCTCTCTGTTCTGTTCCATTGGTCTATGTGTCTGTTCTTATGCCAGTACCAGGCTGTTCTGATTATAGTGGCCTTGTAATACAATTTGGTATCAGGTATTGTGATCCCTCTTACTTTGTTCTTCTTTTTCAAAATTGCTGCATCTATTTGGGGTCATTTACAGTTCCATATAAATTTCTGAAATGTTTGTTCTATATCTGTGAAGTATGCTATTGGTACTTTAATAGGGATTGCGTTGAATCTACAAATTCCTTTGGGTAATATGGACATTTGATGATGTTAATTCCATATTCAATCCATGAACATGGTACATGCTTCCATTTGTTTGTGTCTTCCTTGATTTCTTTCTTCAATGTTGTGTAGTTTTCTGAGTACAGGTCTTTTACCTCTTTGGTTAGGTTTATTCCTAGGTACTTGATTTTTCTTGTTGCTATATCAAATGGGATTTTTTTTCTTGATTTCTGTTCTGATATTTCATTGTTAGTGTACTAAATATAAATAAGTTTAAATTACCTATTATTTTAGAAGGCTTTATTAACAAGAGAAAAATAAAAGTTTAACACATGTACATGGGAAATTCACAAAGGCATGAAAATTCCAAAGACAGGCAACTTTGGGAATATAAGACATTTAGGGGCAAAGGAGAAGGAGAGTGAATGGAGCATTAGATTTCAAAAGTGAGAATGTGCAATTTACAGATAGTTGAGGATCTCCTAGGATTCTAATCTAGTAAAGGTTTCCTAACTTCAAGCGCCCAATTCTGGCCACCTGGATCACTCCAAACCCCACCCCCTCAACCTCATACCCCACCCCCACCCCCAGACTCTGGCCTGCCCTTGTCCAAGACCCTTTGAGGGCTTTCCCCAAGTCCCAAGTGGTCGGGGTCCAGGATGCATAAAAGACAAGAAGTTGTCCTTCACTGGATCTTCACGAAGGACATCCAGTTCACCGTCATCGCTGTCAGTTTTAGAACACTGAAATTGTAGAAAAGCTGCAGGGAAATAGGGCTCAAGGAGCCCTGGAGGAATGTAGACGCAGGCAGGGAAGTAGGGTCAGAGAAGAGTTGGGGCCCACGGAGAAGGAGATCTGGACAGTCTCAGCCCGAGACCGACTCTTCTCGGTGCCCCATCAGCACCCTCAGCTGCCCACTGGGCCACGACCCCCCTTCAACCCCGCACTTCATTGCACCCAGATTTCCCTTCCTGCGGACCCCATGTTATATGCTCCCCTCACCCCAGGTCACTCCTGGGCGCCCCCTGGTTTCCTCTTCCTAGTCCCAGTTCATGGCCAATCTGAGCTCTCCGGGTGGACCCCAGTGTCCACCTTAGACTCTAACCGAGTTCTCTTTCTCTGCAGAAGCTACCGAAGTCGGCAGCAAAGACCAGAGGGCACCAAGAAGTCTCTCGGAAAGGTCAAAGGTGTGGCTTCTACACCCTACATCACTGGAGGCAGAGGAGTCAAATACTGGCGCCAGCCCCTTTGGCTGGAGTCTGTGACTTCTAAGAAACTTCACTTCGTGTTTTCACACTTTTTGAGAATCTTCAACAAAAAGTGAGTGTGACTATATTGCCTTCACAGTATATGCAGGTCTTTCCCACATGCCACAGCACTGGAAAGACTGATGTTAATCTCAAGTTGGGAGAGAACCAGAAATATTGTGCAACCGCATTAGGGTGTAAGATGAGGAAGTATCGGTTTGTAAGAGATAAGAGATTGGGACTCTATTACTTGAAAGTTTGTGGAAAATGGATGAGAAGGGTAGGAAGTGAATGGGAGGAGAGAGAACAAATATTTAAAATATCTATTGTACTATTAGAGTATAATAGAGTATATAGCATATAGTATATATGCCTAATATATTATGCCTAGTATTAAACTATTATTACAGACAAGAGACTTGGGGTCTATGTCTAGGTCTTGGGAAGTCTTAAACTGAGGCTTTTGATGAGATCTCTGAGTGAAATTTATATTTGTGAGCATTAATGCCAATTTGGTAAACATATTCACTTAAATAAACCACAGTTTCTATAACTGTGTTTTGACTTATTTATTTTTAAATTGGAGAGTTGTTAGATAGGAGCTACCTGAACCATTACTGATGGTTTTTAGTGCTAGATTGGGTAATAAAAGGAACCCAGTCAACAAGTAAGAAACAGATCATTACATAAGAGCTCCCTTTTATCCTGGGGTGCTGTGTGTTCCCATTCTTCAGACTGACAGATTTCAAAGCACTTTCACATCAGGAGAGAAAGTACCACACTCTGGTGTGGCTGGCTTAAATTCTTTTCTTTTTTTTTTTTTATAGTATAAAATTTTTATATTTAGAATTAGCCAGTTGGACTCAGTGTAGATGATCCCAATTTTGTGGCAACATCCAAAGCATCATAGTCTGGAGCAAGCAGAACATATATCTTCTTCTCCCCAACAGGCCTGATCAGGGCGTTGACCTTGGCCTCACCAATGTCATTCAGCTTCTTCACAGCCTGTTTGATCTGGTGCTTGTTGGTCTTGACATCCACAAGGAACATGAGTGCATTGTTGTCTTTTATCTTCTTCAGTTCATGGTTGACTCAGTAGTCTTGATTATGGCATAGTGGTCAAGCCTGTTTCTCCTGGGGGTGCTCTTCCGAAGATATTTAGGCTGCCTTTCTGAGCTGCAGTGTCTTAGGCTTCCAGAAGGTGGGTGATGTGTGGACCTTCTTTTTGTGTGTGTGTGGTTGTGGATGCCTTTTAGAACTGCTTTCTTTGCCTTCAAAGCCTTTGCCCTGATTTTGGCTTTGGGAGGGGCAGGGGCTTCATTCTTCACTTTGGGCACCATCGTCGTGAAAAGGGCCTGAAGTTCTTTTACTAACCAGTGGATATGGTTTCCCTATGCAATTACCAGAAGTTGCTTGAACACTTATTGCCACCTTGAACTCACTGAATCCTTCACTGGTGGGAGGATCCTTTGTCTAGAAGTAGATCACCTGTTGGATTGCACAGTTCAAACAAGAAGTGCCTGGAACCAGCAAGCCATGTATCTTAGCTTTCTTAGCAGACTGCCAACTTTGCCAAATATTTAGTTCTCCAGTAACCTAAGCAAATAGATGACCTTCTCTTTGGAAAAATGCCTAATACAGATCAGTGCATTGTGTTTGTCTGGCACATGCCTATTCCTTCAGCCTTCAGTTCAGAATGCTAGTATTATAGGCTCTAGCATTCTTCAATATTGCTGGAGAAATGAACCTTGAATTTTCTTCTATCTACATCTTATTAATAGTCCAGATGATGGAAATTTATACAAAAGCCAGAAATAACTTTAAGACCTAAGCCAGAAACTACTTTAAGGCCTTGTTACTCGAAGTATGATATAGAGACAAGCATCTCCTGTTAAGTTATTAAAAATAAAGAATCTTGGGCCTATCAAATCAGAATCTTAACAAGCTCCCCAACTGCTCTGTTTTGCCCTCAACTTAGGGCATTTGAAAGTTTTCACCAGAATCTTTCTGTGTCAACAGAAGACTTGTACTACATTGCAATGTAAACATTTGTCTCTAGCTTCAGTAGAGAACCATTAAGGTATTGGCCTGAGGCCCCCTTCTGCATGTGCTATAAAAATTTTGCTGAAAATTAAATACTAGTAAAAAATATGTTCCTTTTGATGGGTGTCTCAGGTAGTCCTTTCAGCATTTATTGAACCCTTATTTAAATATTTGGTTCCTATATGGTCATATATGGGTATCACACTGATCATCCCAGTCATCCAAGGTACTATGATGTCATCCCATTCATCCAAGGTACTGATACTTACAAATTTTATAACATAAACATTCAGCAAACATTTCTTGGTTCAAATCTTGGTCAGCTTCTCAATGAAATCACAAAAGTCTTTATAATGGATTCAGGCAGGTGGGGTTTGGTTAGTGGGGAGCATCTGTTAGGAGACCTTTTGGACTACGAAATAGGATCCTCTTTTGCCTCTTGAAGGTAGCACACAACCAACTTCATACCCACCCGATAAGCCTGTGCTCACCATTTGGTCATGCTTGGGGAGAAAACAAAGTTAATATCCCTGGCCATCAGAAGCTTGCAGTTGAATAAAAGAAAATAGTCTTCTCCTTTTGTAACACACACAATATACAATAAACCTAGAAGAATGAACACACACGTATAAACACACACAATATGGTTAAGTGGCAATACAAGTAGTAACTGATAATCACCAGAGTGAATAAGGCCTCAGTTTCTGAAAGATGCGTAATCTGTAAAAACTGAAGAAAATAAATTTGAGAAAGCACAAATGAGGCAAGTACATTTTTTTTTTTTGGCTAAAGTTTTGCAAAACTATATTCTTTGATATCCTAGGTAAATAATCCATATACCTTAGAAATCCATCTGGCTATCCATAGATGTCCTTGAATATTGCTAAACTAAACAATTGATTGGACTCTAATAATTCTTCCTACTTTTCTGAAATATAAATCCCTGGCCTTTTAAGTTACTATATAGTCAATAAATTGAAAATTACAAGGTTGCCACCGAAAGAAATCAAGAAGGCCTCCTTTGTGAATAAAAGTTCCTTGAATGGTAAATAGTGCACTTCCATGAAAATAGATAGAAGACTCATTAACCTTCATTCTTTCTTCTTGGCTTACTAGAAATCTAAGCCTACCAAGAGCCTAGATAATTTATCCTAAAAAATTATTGGGTTCTTCAGACTTTGAAAAAATATTTAATATTTTATGAAAGTAACCAAATGAACGATATATAATATAAAGAAGCATGACGCACACACTGGCCTGCAGTGTCCTTGGTGTTACAGATGAGATGAGATAAATTCACGCTGACTATGGAGTCCTGTGGTGGAAAAGGGACAGCACAGCTACTCTCTCAAGAGGAGAGCGCCCCAACCCTTGCCTTGACAAGCTTTTATTGGCTTTCAATTTGCACAGGAATACAGGTAAAGCTCATTAATTATTGTCAGGCACTAAGGATCAAACAATTAATAGCATACAAGGAACTATTAGGGCTTATTCTAAGTCAAGGTCTGTTAGCTAAAGGGCTACAAAACTTTGGGAAACAAACTCATTTCCAGCTAGGACCCTTATCATTTAATTGGCAGCATTCTTAGCAAAGCAGGTTTCACAAGATTTTATGCATTCTTAGGCCTGATCACCCTGGGAACTCACCCTTTCCAGCACAGGGCTGCACCGCCCTCTGTCATTGTTTCAGGCTTAAGTCAGGCAGGGGAAGTAAGGCAGCCAAGAGATCTGGAGACTTCTTGCAGACAGAATGAGGATCCAGGCCATGTCAAAGCTGAGGGGTGAGGGTCCACCACCCCCTTTTGCTGTAGTCCCCCAAGTCCTTCCTTGGGGACTCCCCATGATCATGCCTGTCTTGGGTCATTCCTCCCTTGAGGAATGTTACCTGTCATTGGCTAACAGATCAAGCACTGGGGGCCAGGCAGGGTGAAGTAAAATGAGCAGAGGCAGCGCCCCTGCCAGGGAGATAAGCTTTGTCTCCTTAGTGGCTTATGGTCTGAGGGTCACTCACTCAGCCTTAGCCTTGGGGGAGGGGGGAGCAGATACAGCTTCTGAAACCAGGCAGGGCAGTTCCCAACAGAAACAGACAAATTCAAAATGTGAGACTTGTTATAAGAAAACTGCTGTGAAAAAAAAGGGCTGAGAGGAGGGAACTTTTCTAGATTAAAAGAGACTAAAGGGACGTTAAAAACAAATGCAATGACAAACGTTCAAATCCAAATTTAAAAAAAATATGAGGAACCCATTGAGGTAATTTGAAAATATGTATGTCTATTAGATTACATGAAATTTATTGTATGCATTCTCAGGTCTGATATAGTACTAAAGTTATTCCTTTTTATTTTAAAGATCTGTATTTATGTTTAGAGAGAGGGTAATGAAGGAGAAAGAGAGGAAGAGAAACATCAGTTGGGAAACCTGGGCATGTGCCCTCACCAGGAATCAAACCCCCAGGTTTCCACCAACCAACTGAGTCACACCTGTCAGGGCTGATGTTATACTTTTATTCTTAGTTCTTATTTCAGGAGGTACATGTTGAGGTATTTAGGTTTGAAGGGTCAAGATATGAGATATGAGACAAGGTAATTATCCTTGTTTGTTGGAAGCTTGCAGTGAAATAAAAGATCTTCTCCTTCTGTCATACATACAATAAAAACCTAGAAAAGTGTGCACACACATACTCTATGCTTAGGTGGCAACACCTAGAGAGAATATGACAAATATTAATAATTAAGTATTCTGAGTAAGGAGTATACAAACATTATGGTACTTTTTTTCAACTTTTCTATAGTGAGAGATTGACTACACAAATGGACAATGGCCAGACCATATATAACAATAGGACTCTGACCCATAACCTGCAGCAACCGCTCAGTAAACCAACTCACTGCCTACCCAGGATGCCAGCCTACTAACTTTAAGTAAGACTTATGGGAACTCAGACTGTCTCTAGTAACAGCCCAGGGAACCAAATAATAACCCCTGTAGAAATCAACCCCAAATGGCCAGGACTTGACTACTAACTAATAACTTTCCTAATATTTTCTACCTAGGGTCCATCAGAGAAAGCCAAATATGCATCCCTAATTAGTGAGATAGGATGCCTGGCTTCTAATTAGCCCTATTGAAGCTTTACCAGACCAACAACCTCCAATCAGTTGAAGCCTTTCATCTCTTCTACTCTAAAGCTTTCCCACTCTTCTGTCTGCCTGTGGGTGGCTGCCAAAACTCATGTGATCATGGCTGACTCCCTTGCTACAACAAGCCCTAAATAAATAGACTTTATTTGTTCTCCTTTAGTTGGTCTTAATTTACTTCCACACTAGGATTAAAATTTTGAAAAATAAAAAGCTGACAGAAAATGATAAAAACACAGACAAGAAAAAAAACAATTAAAAACACTCCTAAGATTCCTACTATGGGTCAAATTGTTCAATAGAAGAGCTTCCAATGGGCCACAGCATACTGAAACATGCCCATTTTTTATGTTGTTTGCTGGGTCTAATAAACTTGAACTGACCTTTGAACAAGTGTTTGGACTGTACCAGTCCACTTATACACAACTTTTTTTTCAATAAATACTGTAAATGTATTTTCTCTTCCTTATGATTTTCTTTTTTCTTTAAATTATATTTGGTTGATTATGTTGTTACAGTTGTTCTTTTGCTCCTCTCTACCCAGCACCCCCCTTCTTGCATTCCCTTGGGCAGTCCCCACACCATTGTTCATGTCTGTGGGTCATATAAGGTTTTTGTCTAGTCCATTTCTTATACTGTACTTTACAGCCCTATGGCTATTCTATAACTACTTATTTATATTTCTTAATCCCCTCACCCCTTCACCCATTCTCCTACATCATCTTCCATCTGGCAATCATCAAAACTCTCTCATAGCCAAGATTCTGCCTCTGTTCTTCTTGCTTGCTTAGTTTGTTTTTTAGTTCAATTGTTGATAGATATGTATTTATTGCCACTTTATTGTTCATGGCTTTGATATTCTTCTTTTTTTTTAAAATAAATCCCTTTAACATTTCATATAACAATGGCTTACTGAGGATGAACTGCTTTAGCTTT